TGCATGAATGAATAAAGCAAGGCTTTGGGCATGCTTTTTTATGAGAGTATAACATTATAACATGATATAAAACTCAAAATAATTGATTTTACATGATATTGCCCCTTTAACTCCTGCTTTCTTGTTTTCCTCAGGTCTTTTGAAGATGCACTGGTCCCCGGAGCACACTGCCCCCTTATCTCAGTGGCCTGAGCAGCACCTAGATGTCACGTCCACCACGTCCCCGCAATCTGCCCATAAACAAGACCCTTACAGTACAGCTGCTCGCCGCGGCTACGGACCCACGGGTTATCCTTGGGCCAGTGATGACATCTCAGCCCTCACTGCTTCTTCACTCCTAAAACGCTATGCTGAGAAGTACTCGGGCCTGGAGCTGTCGTATGATCGCCCCGCTGCAGGCTCCTACACAGAGTCTGGAACTTTCCTAAAAACTGAGCCTGAGCCCTGGGCTTTAGGTCAGGGTATAGAATGCTACCCTGGATTGGAGGCACTTACGGGCTCCAAAGTGGGCTCTGCCTCAGTGGGAATCCCAGCCACGGGGAGCGTAACAGTAGTGAGCAGTAACTTGGCCTCGGAACCAGGTTATAGCGGCGCTGGCTCCTGCAACGCTCCATCATCTCAGGAATACCCTCCAGCCTACAACAGCACCTACCTGCCCTCGGGATACTGCCCTCAGCCCGGCACAGCACTTCCCCCCGCCCCGCTACACTCCCTGCAGGCCACACCCACTCTAGTGTCCAGCTACAGTGCCAGCACTCCGGTCTACAACTACCCACCAGGCTGCTACCCTCAGACCAGCCTGTCCTCTGGCTACAGCCACCCCAGTGCGTCTTACTTACCCTCAGGAATCAGCGCTCCCACTCCCCTGACCCCTCGGCCCWCCGTGGTCGGAGGCAGCTACGGCTACCCGTCTCACAACCTCGGCGGGAGCGCGGAAGCAGGAGTGCCACTGAAACGCAAGGCCTTTGAGATGACGGGCGAGGTGCAGGAGGAGGCGGAGGCAGAGGGGTCGCGCTACAAAAAGTATGCCGGCGATCAAGGAAACGGTCAGAGCAAAGGCAGCGGGCAGGCTAACGGCTATGGTATTAGTGGCTCAGCCTCCGACCCACAGGCCTACAAAGCTGCGAAGCCGCTGATATCTCCTCCTTATGGTGGCTCAGGAGACTTTAGCCCACCGTCCGGCCTGGCAGGGGAGAGCGTATCAGTGGAGCAGAACTTTCCTCAGCAGCAAAGAATGTCCATGAAAATACCTGCACCTCACACACGTGCAGAGGACCCCAGCGGTGGCCGCTGATAGCCCTTAGAACAAAGGCCAGACTTTTCAGGTGAAAAGTGTCATTTCTCTGCCAAACACTAGAGGGATCAGGACTTTTACCTCTGGTGCATGTTTAACATCTTTATCAATGTTTCCAAAGACTCACATAGATGCGTTGGCCTCAAAGGTTGAGATAAGTGTTGGGTTGAGCCATTCTCCATATAGACAGCATCAGGAAAGTCTAAATATATGAGTGTCTGTTCTGTTTTTCTCAGGATAATGTTAATTTCCAGTCGCCTACTATGGAAGCAGCACTGCAGCATGTCTGTTTAAGAGGTTGGTGTTGTTCYTTTTGGCCATTATGTGTTTATAAAGGCCTTTGACTGCAATATGTTCAATAACACCACGAAGAAAAAGAAAAAAAAACTTACATTTTTGACCAAAAATGAAAGCGAGCAATAACTAAAAATGGTGAAATTACCATGCTATTTCAGCACAATCACTTCTACATAGCTGACTGCAAGGCTTGGTGATTTTATTTTTTGTTTTTTGGCCTTGACAGATGAATGTTCCTTCATAAATTATTCTTGATCTTTTGTAGTGGTTATCGTGCCTCATTCTTTATATATTTTCTTTGTGGAGCCCAGCCTCTTTTTTAATTCAGCTTTTATTTTTGAACAGGTTTTTTTTGTCCACTTTGTACATACAAAGCTGCTTWTTAAGTGAGTGTGTAAAGTGAACTTAAAGCCACCCTTTGAACCTAAAAGGAAGTGAGGCTCTGTGGAAGAAAATATGAACAATAAATATCTTGCCTGTTGTAGACAGCTTTTTGAATAGCCTACATTTGTAAAAGAAAAAARAGAGAGAGATTAGTTCTGTTGGATAAGCTGACAGATAGCTGGTTGGTTTGCTATGAAGTTCAATTAACAATCTAGAAAAATAATTGTGGTTTTTGACGTTGCTCTTTTATAAAACTGTTCATCACTGTAACATTTACATAACATTTATTCACATAGAAATCTATGGTTATTTTAAACATAAATAGTGGCAGCAGCCTGGCCCACTTCTGACAAGAATGTTACAATATTTCTACCAGAATAGTTGCTTAATGCAAAACTGATGCACAAAGAGTAACTTATCGCCCATAATTCTGGTCAGAATTAAGCCTTTCCTCCAATCTGATTCAGTTCACAAAGCTGTCTACAGCAGAGAAGATATTGATGATTTCAAACATTTCCACAGAACCTCACTTCAAAAGATGAACATTTTGTTGTAGAAAAAGACTGATAAATAAGAGAAATGGAAATATGTCTATCTTCATTTTAAAAAATACGACATTTAGCATTCTCCAAATCACAAATTAGATTATTGTCAGATAAAGTGGAAGAAATGCTTAATGACATATCCAGTCCATCTGATACTAATCTTCACTCCGAGCCATTTGAAGGCTGATTGTTGCAGTTTGGGTGGGGGAATTGGGGGGGCTATGCAGGCTTCTGTGGAGGATTTGTGCTCTGAACTGAGTGCCTCGAACACTTTTCTCCCCCCACCCCCAATTCTTTATGAAGAATTGCCTGCTTTTCTGCTATGATTTACTATTCTGTTCTTTGATATGCAATCTGTTTACTTAATGCCTCTCAGAAAGATGATTTCTAGTTGTGTAATGGAATACTCAGGAAGAATATTGTTACCTCAGACTGATAAAATAAGAATGTATGTTATGACCTTTAGGTGTTAGATAGCTTTATGGAGCAAGATGAAAGAAAACGGAGCCATGGCTGAAACTTCAGGGAAACTGATGAAACAAAGTCTTCTGTAATAAAATATAACGTGCGCACATGCAAACACCATCCCTCAGCTGAGTTAGCTCTGGGAAACCTTTTCTACCAAGGCCCRAGATGTTGAATGTAATTCAGATTTTCTTGTTTTCTTTTTTTAAGGACAATACATGCCATTATGTACATCAATGATGTTTTAGAAATATGAAACTTATTTTCTTTGTGTATAGATGTAATTCTCTTCTAGGTTTTGATGGAGAAAATTAACGATACGTTAAGTGTTAGTGTAGTGAAAGTTGACATAGTGGTTTGGCTGACAAAATGTCAAACAAATAGCACTCCTGAAAAAAACTTACATATCAGAATCTAAACACACTGCATTATATCATCTGCAGTAGAACTGTTTATTAAAGAACTCAAGTGTCGTCAGTATTTTTCAATCAGATTTTGAATTTATTTTAAATCTAAATTCAAAGCAACTAAAGGCTTATTAATAAAATGTTTGTTATTATTAAAACTATGAGACACAGCATCTGTTATTCAGGGCAACTAAAAGCATATGTTATGTCACTTTTGGAGAATTAAATTGTTTTAAGACCAGACCTTCTCAAAATGGGGTAGAATGAGAAAAATAGTCTCTAAGTATACAATACTGTTATTTTACCCCTGATTCTTTGAGCTTTTAAGCGCTTAGCTACAAATAAATGCTCTTCAATAACTTCTTTAACACGTCACAACAGTTCTTTGCTTTTTCATGGTGTTTCTCTCATTCTTTGATGGAATCAAAATGGACTTTTGAATTTCTCTTTGTCATTTAAACGGATATTTGATGTATCTTGTACATTCTCTAACTGTTCTACCTCATTTAAAAGACTTTGTGCATGAAAGTATTTCATGTCATTTTCAACATGCCAGTTGATGAAGCAATGTTTTTATAGTCTACCTCACTAAAAACTGTTCTGTCATGAAAATGAAAAATATACCAAAAATATACTTGACTTTGTCTTTTTCATTGTGAAAAAAGTAACAACTCAACAGACAAGGTTTTGTTCAACTTTCTCTGTGCACTATGAGAAGATGCTATAATTTCTTTATAATTTATTGACCTATCTATTCACCATTCTTTTTCTATTTTTTGCCATGTATTTCAACATTAGTATAAAGTTTTAACCTCTGTTTCCAAAAAGACATATTTTCATCATCTATATGCTATGCATATATTTCTCTCAAACTGCTCTGTTAAAAATATAGCTTCAGATCTTGTTTATTTTGGAACTAAAATGTTTTTCAGGGTTTTGATTTTACTTTTGAATAATACAATTTTTGAAAATTTGAACAAACTTCCATGAAAGTTATGTAAAACAACAAAGAAACTAAATTTCTCTGAAATTCATTTGAAACATCTGGATCTAAGTTAATTGATTCTGAATTTCATCCGCTGCTGACATGCCAGACAGATTATAGAATTATATTCAGATTGTTGATGTCATAACTAAACACACCAACCATGTTATCAACCAAAATACTAACATTTTATGTTGGAATAGCTCTGGGAGGAAAAAAATATATACTAAAGTGAAGCAGCGCCTTTGTCCTTATAGTTGTAATTCATCTATTCATCTGTGCCAGATGCTTCTGAGGGCTTGTTTCTTTATTTTCTGAAATAACTTTCTATGTATATATGTCTAACTATGATAACTGATCAAGAATGGATTTTAAGGAACCAGTGTTTGCATAATTGATAGCAAACAGTCTTATCTCATTAAGAAATCATTTTAAACTATTTAGCTGTGTTTTACATGCAAACATTGACCAATGAATGAAGTATCTAAACAGAAACTTTATCTCTAAAATGTGATTTGTATGTTATCTTTCCGTCTGCCTTCAAAAATGACACAAAAACAAGTACAGTACTGACACCTACAGGCCATTTTAACCTATTTAAGTTTATTACTTACAGATTACACACATAACATATACAGTTATGCAAAGATTTTTTTTGTTATTATGAATAATTGGGCAAGCTACTGTAAGTCTGGATCATAAAGTATATTGTTTGTTATATATAGTCTGCTTTTTGATCTTGTAAAACTAGGATTTTTTATATATATTACATTTCTACACAATGAGGTAGTTCCTTCATGTCCCACTAGAGGGCGTTACACAGCTGTAAGAAACCTTTTGAAGACTTTATTAGAATAAACAATTGGTTACCAGGAACAGTGCTAACAGACAGTGCCACAGATAAAACAGTGGTGGTTTGCTATCCTTTAACCTGGAAAAAAGGGCATTTTTAAATATTTTTTTATTCGGTGAAATCTGGTGATCTGACTTGTTTCTCTGTGAGATATTGTGGGACGATGAACTCATAAATCCAAGCCTGTGCAACCATGTGTGAATGTGAACACCATGGTCTTCTGTTTGCATACAAGAAAAGCAAGAAAGGGAGTACTGAGTGTGCCACATAAACAAAGATAACCACAACCTTCACAATTGGATCACATTGATTCCCTGAAGACAATCTCCCTGTTTCCTATGAACCCCCCAACAAATCCCCACCAATGTCCCACTTAGCCCACACCCAGCTACTCTCTGTAGCTAAACCTAAAGAAAGTCAACCCTTTGAGCTTCCAGCACAAAACATGGAAAAGACCTGAAGCACAATTCACATAAAATCCTGCTCAGTGCAGTGTTCAACTGTTAAATCAGACTGTCAGTGTGGCTCAAAGACAAACATTTAAGGCAATGTGCACTTCATTGTTTCTGATTTACTCGTGCTCTTGAAGAGGCTCCCTCTCCTCCTGCTTTGCTTGCTGTGGATGAGGAGGTGCCTTATAGTGCACTGTACAGTCGGAGCCTGTTGGGAACATGCTGCTGACTCAGCCCAGGCCACTGCATTCATCTATCTGCACTGCAGTGTTGCCTCTGCTTAGCCTCTCGCACTCCTCCCTCATTCAGTGCCACACACACACACACACACACACACACACACACACACACACACACACACACTAACAAGAGTTTCATCAATCAGTTCACAGAAAAGACACCCTTCTCTCCCATTTATGTACCATCCCACTCCTGAACACTCACACAGTCACACACACACACACACACACACACACACACACACACACACACACACACACACACACACACA